ACGTCCAGTTCTAGCCCTTGGCTGATTTTTGATGAAAAGTTTTCAGTTTCACATTATTCATGCAGAAGCCTCCTCACCCAGTCCCAGTCCCCGTCACCGTCCCAGGCCCTTCGTAGTGCTCTTCTCTGTGTTTTGCGGTTGAATGGAGCTTGCAATTTTTTTTCTTTCTATTTTCACCCGAAATATTTTTTGTTGTTTGTGGCAGCGGAGATGGTACATTTTAATTTTGTGCAAATGGAAAATAATAATCAAGGCAAAATAATAAAATGGACGCAGGCGAGAAAGGTGCAGGAAATCGGAAAATGAGGCGGAGGATTGACAGGACGACCCCGCATGTCGGATGAAGGGGCAAAATACAGCAAGGATGAGTGGGTGGAAGGGTGAGTAGGTGGAGTGGGTTGAGTGGGCGGGTGGCTGGCCCGCAGCTTCGTGTGGCTTTGTTTCGAGTGATTCTCAACAAAGCGCAGTGCACTTAATTCTCTTTACGCACACATGAGGGCAGACGTGTATGACAGGCTTTTTATGCCTAAGTATCTTAAGTTGTCAACTCGAGAAGGCAAAAGAAATCCTTTAATTTGCAGTAAAATGCAAAACGCAGCGCCACTTTGTCACAGCAAGCCAGCCATCCAGCCATCCTGCCAGTCGGGCTAGGGGTGGAATCTGTCAGGATCTACAGGCCAGGAAAGGGGTTACAGTGGGGGGCGAGGACGTATGTATGTGTATGTTCGTATGCAAAAGAAGGCAACAAGTCAGCTTCAACTTGAGCTTCTTCGTGGAGCGTGCATTGGACTTTGCCACTTGCCACATGCGAGCGCAGGCGAATGGCGCCTCAAGGTATGCAGTAAATTAAAATGCAGTGACAGTGGAGGGCCACGGCCCAAAAGGACGAAGGACGAAGCAAGAAGGACAAAGGACGTGGGGTGAGCAGGGCGTGGCGGACTGAGACTAGCGGCAGGGAATGACATGCTCCTTGGATGAGGGCTGCACTTTCCTTTGCACTTTTCACATTAAAAACTTTTGCCCGCAAGCCTGCCCACGCACACACACTAAGCTTAATACACTAAGAAAAAATATATATTGATTTAAAAATTCTATAAGGAACTGCTGATGAAAATTGCCTTTTCGAAGATGATTTTGTTACAAAATCCTCAGAGTCTTGAGGTTCTGACCTTCAACTTTCAAAAGTCCTCTACCCCCTAATTTCTCTCACTGCATGCCTCTTTCTAAGAAAGACAGCAAAGTGAACTTCAGTTTTGACAACACTCACACAAGCAAACAATTACAATGCATTGAGCCATGAGCGACTTTGATTTAGCCAGGTTGGTTACCACACATTCAAGTGGCCAAGACACCCCACAGCAAGAACTCTCGGGGCACACCTCGTTGCTGCCATTTGCATATGAATAGCAAGCAGGTAATAGAGGTGTGTGTGTGTGTGTTGGTGTGGGTGTGGCTGAGAGCTTGGCCAGCGCTTATGGCCACGTTAATGGCAAACTAAACTGCAAACTTTGCTTTTGCCCTGACGCACGCATACGTAATAAAAGGTGTAAATGAGCAAAAGAACCAACTGCCATGCAGCAGGTGAGTTAGCTTGCAGAAGGCGGTGTTAAGGAGGGCGTGGCAGAAAGCCAGCCAGGTGAACAGGCAGCCAGACATGGACTTACGCCTTGGCCCATTATGAGGGCCACTTGCTGCCAACTAAGAAGATTTTTTCTCTCGTCTAACAACAGTGGGTTTTAAAAAAGGTTTGTTTTATAATTAAAGTTTAAGATTAAATTTATAATTGGTTATATTTTATCTATTTTAAGGTTCTAATATTTAAAAAAAAATGTTGACGATTTTATAGCCTTAATTTACTTCTTTCTTACCACAGTAATTTCGTGTGTATTAAACAAAATTTAGCGTCACTTTGAATTACGGCCAAGAGCAGTGGTGACTTGGTAGCTATTACAATGCAAGGACCGGAATAGTCCTACCCAAGCAAGGACATCATGTTTGCAAATTTATGTAGCTGTATAGTTGTATGTTTAGTTGTGAGTTGTGCCAAAGGAAATGCCATAAAAATGTGAAACTGAATTGTGCGGGCAGAAGGACGACGACGACGTCGACGACGGATGGTTGACGGTAAGCTTGGACGCGTTTAAAGTGCAATTAGCGCACGTAATTGTAATCGAGTTGGCCGGCAGCGCCTTTTGGCCAACACCAACACCAGCTCCCTGAGCAAACAACATCCGGCAGGTTGTGATTTCGACTCCGGCTACGACTCCGGCTTACGGCTGTCAGCTTACGGCTGTGCTTGCCTGCCCACGGGGCTGCGTTTTTTTTGCCTGCCTGGGTCCATCCCTCCGTTTTTAAAGGCAACCAGGGAGCTGTAAATAAATTTGGCACTTAATCATATTTACGGATTTTGTGGGTACATTTATTTATATGTCCCACAGTGTGCCCGGTGCTACTTACTGCACTTTTTCCGCCTTCCCTTCCCATTCGGGCTTTGTGATTTTTTGAGGCATTTTCGCGGCTGAGCACTCGAGGAAACACAATACCCGAACCGGACGCCTTCCTGGACCAATTTGCTGCCCATTCTCGAGAGTCGAGTATGGCCTTCTGCCTAATTATGCGTTTTTTGGGCATTGTCAGGGATAAACTGAAATGTGAAATCCAGAAAATATATACATACTTCTGTGTGGCAGGCCCATGAGGCTAATTAGGCTCACAGCATCGCCCATTGTGTTTCCCGAAAAGTTAGACTCTATTGTTAAGGCCACTTCTGGCAGGAACTCACCTGCCGTTCTATGAATAATTTAGGGATTTAAACAAACTGCCGTAAAAACGACAACTATTCAATCTGATTTGTTTGATATTTGACTTGCCACGGTGAAAATAATAAACCATTTTCGGTTTCGATATTGTTTTGTTTGGCATGTTATCCTGCGGTCGTTGTGGGTTTAGTTTAATTTTCGTAAGTGTTGCACTTTCATTGTTCGGCGCGATGTTTGCATAATTTGCGGTTTGTTTTGATCGGTTTTTCGATATAAAAACACTCTTAATCCTTAAATCACTCTTAAATCAACGCATTTGTACAAAACTCCTTTTTTGTTTAGCAACTCATTACTCAAGCCCTGGATCTGCCTTCATCGATATTTGTCACTATTGTTGTTACTGATTATTGTTAAGTGCAGGTGGAATAGTCTGGGGGATGGGTATCTGGGAATGGGTAAAAACTGTCACTTGAATGCATTTTCATTACGCCTCATTACATTTCACTTGCATCTGCAATTGTGTCACATCGCGTTGCCTTTTCAAGCCGCCAAGCCTTCGAGCCTATGAAAGCCAGAAGCCAGGAGCCGAAAGCCCTGGGCCTGAAACTGTCGAGCGAATGGATTCGTTAGCTGAATGGGCTGTGAGTGTTTTTAATTGAAAACAATAAAGTTCTTCTCCTCCTACACTCACTTGCAGAAATGCATTAAATGTTTTCTAAAGGTGAGTGCTTAAAACGAATGTGTAATGCTCTTTTTTTAGGAGGGTTTTGGCAAAAAACTCTAGAAGGATTGTCTTGATAATTTTAATATTTTATTTCTTTTAAAAGAAAGCTTTCTTTTAGCTAAGAAATAACTCTTTTCTTATAATACTTGCACTATACCCCATTAAAAATACCCTTTCTTTGTCAAAAAGAATCTCTGGCTGAGCTAAAAGCTGAGCATTCGATGGATTGTTTGGTTCGCTTTCTTTGTTCGAATATCAAATGGCACCGGTACTGGCAATGGCACTGGCACACACACCTCCCATGGAAATGGAAATGGAAACAAATGAGAGATAGAGGGCCCTGGGCCCCATAGAGCCATAGATGGATAGATACGAGCGAGTGAGTCGCTTTCGAGGCAGACAATACTGAAATGCGAATGCGAAAGTGATAATTAAAAATCGCGCCATATACTCGTATACTGGTTACCAGATTCTGTTGTTGCCGCAGATTCTTTCGCCTCGGCATGAAATGGTTATTGTTTATGATTTTTCCCGCTGCCGGGCAGGATATTCGTGTTGCAATCAGCACTGGTGTTGTGGTGGGATGCAGTTGGGGCTGGGCTGCGCTGACTATATGTGTGTATATTTTCTGCGAATGAAGTGATCAATGCGCCTAACAATGATTGACGGCATTTCCTACAAGAGTGGGAGTGACGAAAGTGGGTGGCTGTGGCTGTTCCTCCGTATAAAAGACTCCCCCTGCTGCAACTGCATCTGACAAACAATTATGCAAAATTGCTGGCGTTTGCAGTTTCATGCAAAAATTAATTTTGCATTTTTAATTTTACACCCAGCCGTGGCGCGGGACAGGGTCTTGTGGTGTCGGGGGTTTACAGCGAGGCAAGAAACCATCATCGTCAGCCGCACAGGCCAAAAGTGCTGCGACGGCAATATGCATGGTTCAATAAAGGATTGATAAGAATTGGGCTTGGCTATTTTTCCACTTAAAAAAAAACTTGGAGAAAGCAGCTTATAGTATTGATAAGCTTACAAGGCATACTTACCATGTATTTTTGACAGAATTTTTTAGGCCTTAAAAGGGGATTTATATATTATTTTATTTAAATACATATACTCTATAAATTAACCAATTTTTTAAGGTAGTACCATTTTCAGGATATATCTTTTCTACCAACCAATTTTTTTTTTATTAGAGATTGTTTTAAAAATTGTTGTATATTTTAATATATTTATCTTTCTTTTTACTATCGTTTTTACAAAGAAGTTATTTTTAATTGGTTTTATTTCCAAAATTTTAACGATATTTTTTAACCGAAATCTCTTCCCTTTTAATCTATTATTTGCTGGCAAAGATATAATATTTATTTTGTAATAATTACAAAAATTATTTGCAGTGTTGCTAGACTTCTTAGCATCACGCGATCAACTATCTGAGCTAACTTGGAGCCACGTACCCCTTAGGATGTTTGCTGCTGGTTGGTCTCCTCATCGAAAATCATTCCGCAATCGGAAGACGTTGTGGTTGGTTGCAAAAAATGTTCCAAGCGGATCGTCGTGAGCTCCCGAGCCATGCCAGTCAGTTGGCTGTGCCTCCCAAGGAGCAGGATCATCCCTGTCTGGTACTGGTCCCAGATATGTACCAGGATATGCAGTTTCCGGATATATGGCTGCGGGATAACTGCCTCTGCCAGGAGTGCTTCATGCCCCAGACATTAAGTCGCTTGCCACAGTTGTGGAACAATCTGGACACCAGTGTCAGGGTCCTGCGTCAGGAGGTGGATGTGGAGCAGCAGGTTCTGTATATCGAGTGGTCCGATGGACACTTCTCCCAGTATCCGTACAGCTGGCTACGCGAACGCGACTTTTCGGAGGCAAATCGCGAGCGATATCTGCGCGACTTTTACCGCCCCGAACAGCAGCTTTGGAGCGGACGCGATTTCGAGCACATACGCCGTGTTTTCAACTACCAGGAGCTACTAACCAACGACTGCGTGCTGCAACAGTGGCTGCAGCACCTGGCTGTGTTCGGGGTGGCGCTTGTCAAGGAGGCGCCACTGCAGATGGATGTCCTGCGGCATTTGTGCAACCGCGTCGGCTTCATGAGACGCACGACTTACGGCGAGGAGTTCAGCGTCCGGGCCCAGCCTGGAGCCAGCAACTACGCCTACCTGGCCGCCCCCCTGCCCCTCCACACGGACATGCCGTACTTCGAGTACCTTCCCGGCGTCACCCTGCTGCACACTCTGGAGCAGTCGGCCTCCCCCGGTGGCGTCAACCTCCTAACGGATGCCTTTTACGTGGCAGATATCCTGCGCGAACGATATCCGGAGCACTTCCGGGTCCTCAGCCAAACGCCGGTCGACTGGGCGGACATCGGGCAGGACGGGGATCTGCAGTTCCACAATATCTGGCGGGCTCCTGTGATCAAGTGGGTATTTAAGATTCTTTAAGATACAATCCTTGGGGGTCTGCCCCAAGGAGATACAATCCTCCTCCTGGTGTGTTAAGCCACACAACTGATAACGTAATCCCGGCTAACATTGTGCTGAAACCAAATTCCTTGCAGCTTGGATGCCGAGGGAAGGTGTGTCAGGATTAACCACAGCATTCCGCAGCGGGATAGCCACTTCAGCGTGGCCCTGGAGGAGGTGCGTCCGTGGTACGAGGCGATGGCCACCTTCGTGCGGTTGGCCCAGGAGCACTCATGCAGCTTCAAGACCACGCCCGGGGACGTGCTGACATTCAACAATCTGCGCTTGGTCCACGGACGCACAGGATACGACGACACGGACCGCAATGTGCGCCACATCCTCGGTGCCTTCATCGACTGGGACATAGTCTATTCCCGGCTTCGTGTCCTGCGGCGGGCGAACACCACATGCCACACATCCTTGACACAGTCTGGGTCTTAAATTATGGATGCCAGATTAATTACTGGTCGACTGCAAAACAAACACAAACTCAATCAATGCCAAACTCAAAAGCATCTTGATTGACACCCCAAACATCCACAAATAGATTTAATCCAATTATTGCCTTACTTTTCAATTTATTTTGAAAATGAAATTAAATGTTTATTGGCATTTTGCAATAAATAGATACTATTTTATGGATTCGTGTCTTTGACATATTTCAATGCTAATTGATGGCAGTTAATTGGGTTAAACATGTGATCATGAGAGTCGAAACATTTGATAGATTAAATGTTGTTTTAATGACTAGTTTTCGATTAAACCTGAACATCTGGCTGATAAGTTGGGGGTACCCATTAAAGTGCTTTAAAATGGGGATTATTAGACTCTTTGAAATAGTATGTTAGTCTAGGTTATCTAATGCTTGTCTCTTTGCTTGTGTTTATAGTTTTACTATTTAAATTATTTATATTTTTGTGAAATCCCTGAGTATATTCAGCCTCTCATCACACCTTATGCAGCCTTTCGAAAACCAAACAGGCCACATAAAGTGAAAGTCCAGCACACGTCATTGTTTACGCCGGACATCAAAGTTGCTTATCAGGGCCCGGCTGAGTCAACAAAGAGTGTTTGCCGAAGTGGGGGATGCTGGTTATCAATTTATGGCAATGCCGAGACTCAACACTGACTTGCGGAGAGCTCTTGGGCTGTGTAAATCACACTGCCACACACACACACCTTCAGTACCCTTCTTAGACAACATCCAACCGAATGTGGCAGCGAGATTTTTACGGGAAAGAAAGCCAACTTTCGGTTTGTCTCGCTGCCACTTTTGGGATTGTTTTGGGATGGGTTTTGGATGGGTGTCGGATGGCTTGGGTGGTTGCCCGCAGGCAAATCCTTTGGAAATCTTTTTATTTATGTCATTGATGCCACCAAAACATAGCGGCAGCAGCAGGAGTAGCAGCAGCAGCCCGGAATCCAAGTCGGAGCACATGAATTTGTACATGGCAGCGAGTAAATCCCTCTAATAATCCACATAATAAGCACTGGAAGTAGCTTGTGGCAGCAACAGGCCGAAAGGGTTGCCCTGGCTCTTGTTTATAAGTTCATAAAAGTCAACGAGCCGGGACACAGAGGCAAGGGGACCCATAAAAAAAAGCCAGCCAGAAAAAAAACACCCAACAAGCCAAATGCAAACGGAAAATGTCAAAAACAACAAAAAGGACGAAGGAAAAAGTTTGCCAAGGAGCAAATCCAATTTCTTCGAAATGTGTGTGGGTTTCGGGACGGTGGAGTGAAATTTTTACTGCAGTTTTGGGGGCAGAAAGCAGACCTTGCAACAGTCATAATGTGTAATTGAAAACCTGCTTTGAATCGCACCCCTGGGTGATGTATGAACGACCCCCACCTCCACGTCCAGGAGAGCACAAGCCACCGCCCTAATTGGCAGCCTGGTCAGCCAGGACACAAATTGTGTGACGCCGTGGCCATTATGTAAACAAGCCGCAACTAAAAAAAAAAAAAATGGCCAGAGAATGCCACAAAAAAGGGGTGTTTCCCGAGACAGTTGCACAATTGCCAAACTAATACGCTTACATACAATTTCCACAATTTCCGGTTTCGGTTTTTGGCTGCTGGATTCTGGATGCCAAGGATGCTCTCTGGCCAGGACAAGAGCCAAGCTTCTGGCTGTCAGGATGATAAACATGCGGCAATTGACGCAATCATTGTCTGTCCATGAATTGAATTAAATCAACTCGAGTGCGACATCTTCGCGCTGACACTTGCAAAATCAGCGAAGGACATCATTCTGTGTTTCCTTCTCGAAATGAATGCCCTTGTTATGCTTGGCCTGACATCGAAATCAAGCCATACGAAAGTATAGGTTTGCCAACAAACAAATGCTTGTCAGTTTCGCCTGAAAAGGACTAACAAAAAAAAGGGGTTTGTGGGTGTGTGTGCTTATGTGGGTAATGCCCCATAATTCCCGTTCGTTTCCGTTTGATTCCGTTGCAGGACATTGCGAGCATTTTGCTTATTAGAATCCGTTTGTGCTCCCCCGCGAATGTGAGCTCTCCAATGCCGCTGGAGGGTAATAAATTCCCCGCCATCCCTCCCCTCTCTTCGGGCAATTTCAAAGTTTATCACCAACGCGCGTCTGCAACTTATGTCGTCTTTCTTCTGCTTCTGCCACAAACCCAGCCATAGTCTCTGCTCCTGCCCATGGCCCTGCCCTTGCCCCTGCTCCTGCCACTTGTTTGTCTGCACGTCTGTTGTGGTTATGTGAAATCACATCGTAAAAATGTCCAGGTCCTCGAAATGGTGCCGTGCCAGCATGCTTCGTGCTTCGTGCCTCGTGCTTTCGCGCGCTCCAAAGCCCATAAGTCCTGACAGTCTCACCTGAGTACCCTCCCACTGCCCGCTCTACCCCTTTCGCCATTCAATTTATAGATGTTGCCCATATAAATATTTATTTCTATGTGCAAGCTGCCTACCCCTTTGACACCACGCCGCGGCATCATTATTATTTTTATGCTTGTGTCTTAAAAGCATTCCGCCGATCAATAAAACCACCACATTCCCATTTCGCCCCTGTGGCCGGGCATCCTTTCCAATAAGCGAAAGTGGTTTTTGAACCACGAAATGATGCTACGTGTGTGTGTGAGAGTGTGTGCCATCAAACAATTAAAGGTCATCGCAATGGGTGGGTGGGGGTGATGGAATCGGGGCTATAATACACAACTGGGCCAAATCCATGAAATGGATTAGTTGGATGTCATCACGGGAAACAACATTCCGTTGAACAATGCAAATCATTTACGGATAACAGGCAATAGTGTCAGCATTTCGCATTTTTAATTAGGCTAAAATAAAGGCTAAAAAGGGCAACAGACCATACAGGCTATAATCGTGGGGGGAGGAAGTTGTTTTAGCCTGCCAGGGTTTCCATTTGTGGTGGTACCTTGAACGCCATTTAAACACCAACTGATAAAAATCTTAATGTTTTATCTACACCCTTTTCACACTTTGTTTGGATCATTAGAAATAGCTTTTAATTTCGAGTTTAAAATCAAGAAGAACCCACACCCACCCATGTAAAATATATATATATTCTATTGTTTCATAGCTTAGTCTATAAATAGGGTGGTATATTAAATTCTTTGATAATTGACCAAAGTAAGAATCTATTTAATCATATTTTAAAAATATTTGAAATACTATAAGAAAGTTTCCAATTATCTCAATACCGACACAGACAAACTAATATTAGTATACCATTTAATATTTATCAAGAAACCCTCCTGTTTTCATTTTAAAACATATTTCAACAACACAAGCTTCCAATTTCCTTAACACTTTGCTTAATTGCCGCCACTGACAGGCCAAATAGTAAATGGGAAAAATATGTAAATACTTGGCCAGATATGTAATTTGGCCAACTGCGTTTTGGCCAAGACGGTCGAGTACTTGGAAATGTCTGAAATCGAGGCAGACATCGGTCTGAATGTAAATTCAAATGGCTGCAGGCCATTCTCATCATAATCATCCTCGTCCTCGCCCTCATCCACATCCACATTATCATCATCATCGTCCTTTTTGGAGGAGAAGCAACACCAAAAACAACAACATTGTAATTAGTGCCAGGAATTGAGTTACGCTTTGAATTAATAACATTTCCGGCATTATAATTTGGACAATATATCACGGGTGTTATCGTGATGGCAGAGCGAACGGAGGCAGCATTGCTGTTGCGGCTTGTGGCATGCAAAACGTAACGGTAAATTGGTTAACAATTACACAAATCTCATAATGAAGTTAGGACCAGGGCCAGGACCAGGCCGAGTACCAGAACCCGGACTAGGGCCCATCCAACGGTAACTATGGCATCGTCAGGACCCGGAACATTTCCATTGCCTGCGGTCAGCAGAATTTCCTACGTCCGGGCTTGGGCTCCCATCTCTCTCGCTCCTGCACACACACACACATATCGGGCCCTCTCTTTCTGTTAAATTGATTAGAGGGCGTTGTGGTCAGAGGGGGCCATCGAAGGGGCCACTGAAGGAGTATTGCCCCAGAAGCTATAGCTGCACTTACCGCCAGCCAATTTGCAGCTTTGTTCTCAAGTGTAACCCTTAACAGGTGTTGATGTTTGCTAAGTAGCTTTTGGCCCTTATGCCCTCCCCAGCCCTGCTCCATCCCCCCCTTTTAGCATCATGCGTTGCTGCACATTGCTTTGATTATTTTCTATTTTCTACAAATTGTATGCAAATAGTTGAGGTTTACCTTTAGTCCAGAGCTCCGCTCCAGGCACTCCAAGGACCCGAGGAGCCGTGTGCCGAGAGCCCAGGGCTCTGCAACCGGAGACAGTTAATATTTCCCAACAAAAGCCGCAGTATTGACTTTTCCACCTGGGCCAAATGAAGCAAACTTGTTTGTCATTACACCTTCGACCCGAAACCCCAAAAAAACACTGGGGCCTTTGTCTTCTAATTGAACTTTGGCACACACAGCCCGTATGTGAGGCTTTTATATCCGCTTTTTTCCAATTCAAAACATAGACTTTAAAATTTAATAATTTATAGAAGTTCCTTCATAAATATCCTTTTCATTTTCGGGTTCGTTTAATGGCTGGCAACTTCATTGTTTTTCCAGGCAGCACAGAAACTTGTAGACTTCAATTTCCACTTTTAATGAAAATTCAACAGATTTCGGGGGGGAAAATGGCAAGAGTCTGCTATTTGGCTAATTGCTTTACGGCCCAGCACAGGTGTGCTATACTGTACTGTTCTAAACTGTGGCAATAATTTCATAAGCACATGCAATTGCCTTTAAATACTCAAAGGCTTTATGAACCTAATAAGGTAATAAGCCAAACATTTTCCCAAGCTAAGCAAATGTGGCATGTTTGCCTAGGATGTTGAAATGTCGATATTCAACCCTATTTTCCACCTCCACCCACTCTTCCTCCCCCCGAAAGGTTAGCCTCATTAGAAGCCAACACATTCTGGCTTTGACTCTTGCCAGTTTGAAATAAAATTCAAGTTTTTATGAGAGCTCGTAAACTGAATCGAATTTTTGGGGAGT